CGCCCTCAGGGAGCCGGCTGTCTAGGGGAGAAAAGATGGACAAACAAATAGGCACAATAAATAATAAAAAGTCAGAAGTGGTCACTGTCTGAGGAAAGCTACTGAGACGTTTCTGTGGGCGTTCGAAGGAAGAGGGAATTGATTTGGGATGGAAAATCTGAGGAGTTTCAGAGGACGGAGAGATTGCCCTGGGCTTCTAAGGAACCAGCTAGATGAGGAAAATCATACACAGAAATGGAAAGATGAGCACCCCTGCAAGGCAGTGCTTGGAAATCCAAGGAAAGCGCCAGGCCCGGGAGTCAGGGGAGACTTCTTGGAGGAGATGGGCCTGAGGGGAAGAGAGGCCTGGTAGGGAGCTGGGGAACAAGGGACAGGGCCAGTGTCAGCAGAGGCTTGGAAGAGGAAACACAAGAGGCTAGCCCAGGTTTTAGCACGGAGGTCCTGTCACCGTGGGGGTGACGGAGGTACTGTGGGTAGGAAGGTGTGTGGAAGCCAGGCTGCAGAGGGCCAATGGCACCCTAGAGCCTCGACTGAGACCAGCCCTTCAGACAATGGGGAAGGGGTGTGAGCAGGTCAGTGGTGATACGGCCTCCCCGGGCGGTCAGGGCCACAGCCACTGGGGTGAGAAGGGAGCGCCGCAGTGGCGGAGGGGCGCCCTCTCCAGGGTGGACGTAGGCATGGGCTGAGTCCTGTGCACGCTGCTCGTCACCCCTGGGGCCCCGCTGTGGGGCAGCCGGACACAAGAGTGCTGCTTGGTAGCGCCTGCTGGGGACATGTTCGTCTGGTGTCCCGCGAGGGCCTGAGCCGTCCCCTCGTCTTTGCTGCCCGCAGCCCGGGGTCTGGTTCCTGTTGTCATCCTTATTATTCTGATTCCAACATGTTTGATGCCAGCCAACCTCCCAGGAGAGGCTCTTCCCAGCCAGAAATCAATCACTGTCTAAACCCTAATAAAGTGGTGCCCAGAATGGCACGGAGGTTGGGAAGGGAGGGCAGGACTGTGGGTCTTAGTGAATTGGCACGCACCTGCCAAGGACCCCTGGGTGCAGAGTCCCGGGGGCCGAGGGGACCCCGTGTGTCCCTTAGTGTGCAATTCCCACATTCCCTCTCCTCCCCCAGCCACGATCCCTCTGTCTCAAAGAGTGTCCAGTGGTTCTCTGCGAGTTGATTGGTTGGAGTCCTGCACATCAGGGTTTATATTAGCACGTTTTCTTTGTGTGCTTGGGCTGCCGTAACAAAACACTACACACTGGGTGGCTTCCACAACAGACATTTATTTCTCATGGTTCTGGAGGCTGGAAGTCTGAGATCAGAGAGCCAGCAAGGTCAGTTTCAGGTGACAGCCTTCTTCCCGGCTTGAGGGTGGGGGAAGTAGGGTGGGAACCCTCTCTGGAGTCCCTTCTTCTAGGGCACTCATCCTATCAGATCAGGGCCCCACCTTTATGACCTCATTTAACCTTAATTACCTCTTAAAGGTCCTATCTCTAAATAAATGAAGTCACATTAGGGCTTTAACAAATGAATTTCGGGGGACAGAATTCAGTCCACAGCATACACATCTGCAAAAAGAGAGCAGACAGGACCAGTAGGCCATTGTACTTGTGTGGCTGCTGTGGGGCAGGTGTAATTGTGGCCTTCGGGTCCTGATGGGGCAGAGGCGAGTCCAGTGTGACTCTGCAGCATGAAAACATTGCTGAACTAACTCCTCCCCACAGTCTCGGGAGAGGCCCGAGTTCCCAGATTTGCAGGGGATGTGGGAATTTTCTGAGAGATTGTTTTATTAATTAATCCATCTGATTACAAGTGATTTATTTAATATTTAACAGGTTGTAGATGGAAACGTTGGTCATAGTGAGGTCACATGGCGCAAAGAGAAAGATACCTGCCCCCAGTCTAAAAACCTCATGGGGGCTGGACGCATCACCCGTGGGAATTTCCAGACGTCCAGGGTCCAGCCTGTTGGTGTTTCAGAGCTGGTTTGCCTTGGTTGGTCTTCCTTGTGGTGATTATAAGGCTTACATGCCCTAATTCTGTGGATTGAAAGTTTGTGTCTTCCCAGAATTCATCTGTTGAAACTCAAACCCCCAGTGTGATAGTATTAGGAGGTGGGGCCTAGGTGAGGTCATGAAGGTGGGGCCCCCATGATGGGATCAGTGCCCTTTTAAAAGTGACTGGAGAACTCGCCCTCCCTCTCTCTGCCGTGTGGGGGCATAGTGAGAAGATAGCCACCTGCAAATCCCTTCCTGGGACCCAATCATGCTGGCACCCTGAACTCTGGCTCCCCAGCCCCCAGAACTGAGAGGAACAAATGGCACCCCCTCCAGGACTTTGTTACAGCAGCCTGAGCTGACCAAGACACACCCTCCTAGTCCACTCCCTCCTCAGTAGCGCTCCTCTGGGAAGACGAGCTTCATTAGAAGGAAGATGCACTGTGGTTAAGGGTGCAGGGTCCGTATGAGACTGACCTGGGACCCCCTCCCTCCTCGACACCTTCCCCTGCTACCTCTGTTTTCTCATTTCCAAGTGAGGATGCTGACATAACACACTCACCTCCTGGAGCTGCTCCAGATACTCAGACGTGTCCACTAGGCACTCAGCCTGATGTGGTCACTGGATAAACGTGTGCCTGTGACATGAGGCTTGTGTGCCTCGGAGCCAGTGCCTCCTTCCCTGACTTGCGCCCGATGACGCTGACGATCTCTAACATCTTATGTGTCTCTTTCCTGTGTCTAGGGCTGAGCTGATGGTTTCTGTTATATTTGTAACAATGAAACATTTTCCCGCATCACATCTTTTGGAGAACCCCGATGTCTAAAACTGACGGGTGTGGAGTTGTGCTGATCGAAGCTGGCGTGGGGCTAGAGACCCCCTCCACCTCTTGCAGGAACCCACGTCTTGCAGGAACAGCATTTGAGAATCGCTCCCCTGGGCTGCCCTGCTTGACTTCTGTTCCCAGAGTCTTTCCCCCGGGAGATCACAGTGTAATCGTTCAGGTTTCTCCTTCCTCAGTAACAATCTTATTCTGGTCTTGCTGCCCTAAGGTCCCCTGGGTAGGGATTTGAGATGTCCCAGGTTCTTCAGTCATACACTTGTGGTCCTTTGGCCACTCCCTCAGGTGGCTCATCCTATCAGGTGTGCGTGGACTTTGCTCCTTAACTCACAGAAGCTCACATTATTGCCTTAGTCTTGGCTGCACCTCTGTCTCCCAACTTTTGGCCAACCTGTGTAAATCTAATTTTTGTTGTTCAGCAAGGCTATGCATACAAATAAATCCACAAATCAGGAAAAATGCTTTGTCATATTCTGTGTCCTGGCTTTGGTATCGGAGTTGGGTCACTGTAGGGATGGGAGCATCATACAGAAAAGACGGCAGGGAACCTGGATTGCTGGCCACACTGGCCACAGAGAGTCAAGGGCCACGTGTCAGGGGAATCTATGAGGCTTGATTGTCCATGTTGCTCTTCTGAGGCTTCAACCTCTGCAAGATAAGCTTGATCTTTCTTTCCTTATTTTTGTAGCAGCTTTATTGATATATAATTCATATACCACACAGTTCACCCATTTAAAGTATACAGCTCGGTGATTTTTTAGTATACTCACGGCGTTGGGCACCCATCTCCACGATCAATTTTAGAACATTTTTGTCATCCGAAAAGACAGACTGTATGCATTAGCAGTCACTCCCCATTTATCCCCAACTTCCCACCACCACCACCACCACCCTCCTGGGCAACAACTAATCTACTTTCTGTCTCTATGGGTTCCCTTATTCTGGACACTTCACATAAATGGGATCTTCCAACATGTAGTCTTTTCATGTCTGGCTTATTTCACTGAGTATAATGTCTTCAAGGTCCATCCATGTTATGGCATACATCAGTACTTCATCCATTTTTATTTTTTAATAGTATTCCATTGAATGGGTAGACCACATTTTGTTCATCCATTCATCAGTTGATGGGCACAGGGGTTTTTCCACTTTTGGGGCTATTATGAACAATGCTGCTGGGAACATTTGTCTGTAGGTAGAGATTTTCCATTTTACAACATCCTCTACCAAGAGAATGAATGATATCAAGAGATAGATTTATTGAGTGTTTGCCATGCACCAGATGCTGTGGTGAACACGTCACTTCACACATACTATCCATGTAATCTTTGCAAGTAGCCCAAAGAATAGGCTCTCTCCCCATTTTACAGGCGAGGAAACTGAGGTCCCATAGCTAAAATGGGGCGGGCTGGGATTTGAACTCAGGTCTCTATGATAGCATGACAGTTACCCTTAACTGCTTCCAGAAGCTGGGCAGCCATTGGTACCACACCACTCCGACCATTCACATTGATAAAGTCACACTGATTAAATTCATATGCCGTGCCACTTACAGACATTATCTTGCTGAATTTTCATACCAACCTCAAGAGGTTATCTTACTATTTCTCATGTCCAATGAAGAAAGAATTCATAGAAACTATGTAGCTCACTGGCTGTTGCGGCTTCTTGATGTCGGAGCCTGGATACCAGCACTCAGCAGCGTCTTGCAGCTGCTCCTGAGACAGCTCTCCTTCTCAAACCTGGCCTCCTTTAACCCTGCATCACCTCAAGGAGAGTCTCTCATATGCCCAGGAGACCATCTTCAAAGGACAGCCACCATCTCCCTTCCTTTGCACACATGTGCCTGTGTGTGCGTATAAACGTATATCCTAGGGTATCCCTATGCCTAAGCTTAGGTACCTCTTACAGGTAGGACCCCTGGTGGCCTGCTGTGGCATTACAGGGTTCCTGGGGCAGACATCCACCTTAGAATTCACTGCTACACCTGGCTGCAAACGGAGACACTTAGCAAGTAGAGGATGTGCTTTGGTGACAGTTCTGAGGATGACAGGGTGGAGGGCGATGTGGGTAGCTGCCTGGAAGAGGAAGGTGGCAGTGGGGGGAGACTGGAGAAGGAGGAGGGGTAACGGCAGAGGGTACCAACTGTCTCCATGTGGTTGCCTGCCCACAGCTGCGATCTTGGATGACCCCATGGAGTGCAGCAGAGGGGAGCGGCTCTCCATCACCCTGGCCAAGAACCGCATCAACCGTGCTCCTGAGAGGCTGGGCAAGGCCAAGGTCGAAGTGGACATCTTTGAGCTTCTCAGAGACAGCGAGTACGAGACTGCAGAAACCAGTACGTAGAATGGGCAGGGCTGCCGTCTGCTTCCCCTGCTGGCAGAGGAGGGGCTGGTGGTGTGAGCTGCACCCATCGCCAGGCCTGTGATGCCGGTATTCCCAAGAGAGGGAGCGAAACATGCCCCAGGGGCCCCATAGGGCTGAGTCTACACAGGATCCCAGGCTTTGTTGCAAATCGTGTGTGGAGTAGAATTAAGACAGGAAATTCATTCATTCATTCATTCATTCATTCATTCATTGACTTACTCATTCATTCTTTCCAATATTGATTCATTCATCTCTTGGACATTTTGTACACAAATCCCTGAAGGAAACCTTGTGTGAAGAAAGGAGAGATACGGGCAGCCCAAGGGAAGGGCAGTCATTGCACATCTGTTTCCTGTCTTGCTGTCTTGTGCTGAGGGCAGCACTGTGGAAAGAAGCTGGGACTTGGGCTGAAGTTCAGTGACTCACTCCGTGCGGTAACCTTGGACAAGCCACGTATCCTATTCAACCTCAGTTTCTTCATCTGTAAAATGGGAATGCTAGGCTCTACTAGCTTGCAAGTCGTCGTGAGGTTTAAATGACTTACAATAAAGGAAAAGCCTCTGTGAGTTGCAGTGCTTTATAGCCATACAGAGTAGGTCACTCAAGTCACACTTACAAGCCCCTGCTATGCACGGGGCACTGCTTTTAATCCTCCCCACAACTGGAGGGTTAAGTGTTCTCATTCCTACTTTGCCAAAGAAACTGAGGTTCAGAGACACTGGGTAACTTGCCCAACCCCAGAGCTAGTCAATGGCTGAGCAAGTCCTAGACTCTGAACTTGCATCACAACCCTGCAGGTCCAGTGTCCAGTCCATTCCCCCTGCCCTGTAATTCTCTTGTGCGTTGCTGGTATTACCTTGATAAATTTACAGGATGAGCTTCTAAGTTAGTGGGATGGTGGCTCATAGCTCAGCTGGAGAGGAACAACTCCTGTTCAGAGAGAAGGAGGGGAACCCCTCAGCCCAGGAGATGATGGCCTCTGTTCCCTAAGACTCCGGAGTCCCATCTCCTCCCATCATAGCCCATTTCAACCCTAATGACACTCAATGGTAAAACCAAACCAAACCAAAGAACACCTTGCTTCAGTACACATGTCAGACATCTGGTCTTCTACCTGGGGATCCAGTGCTGCTCCAATCTGGGCTATTCCTATTGCAAGAGAAGAAACACATTTACACTGGCTTAAGTGAAATATGTAGGATATTGTACAGATCCAAAGAGGGGAGCGGGAAGGGAAGAAGGCAGTGGCTCTCTCTGTCTGTCTAACAGCTCTTCTGATGCTCTTACCATATTGGATCCATGCTCTTCCCTCTCTGCTCTTGGTTTCCCCACTTATTCATCATGCAACTGTTCCATGATGGCCATCCAGGCCCAGTTTACAACTTGTTCATTCATTCAGGAAATTTTTATTGAGCATTTGCTCTATTTCAGGCCTGATTCAGGATATCCTGCATTGGGAACAATGTAGAAAACAAGATAGACTCAGGCCCTGCCCTCAGGTGGCTTATAGTGTCTCTTCAGCATTCAGCTTTCCCTCGGTGCCTCTTGGTTTGGATTTCCAAGGTAGAGGATCTGGTTGGTCCAGCTCATCTTGCTGTGGCTGGTCTCACAAGCCACAGACATTGGCCGGATGACCTAATAACTACCCTTGGGGAGAATGTCCACTCCTAACGCCTGAGGATGGATTCTGATCACACAGAACAGGGTTGCTGAGGCCAGCAGGATCTATGGACAGAGATGTGTCCAGAAGAAGGAACGGGGAGGGGGTGAGGAAACAGGTACCTGGAATAGTCATTCATTTATTCACTCGGCCAGTCAATAAATACTTAGTGAGTGCATATTATGCTCTATCCTAGGCCATGGGGACTCAGCAGGGAACAGAGTAAAATCCTCGTTGCCATAGAAGTTAAATTCCAGCACAACAAAAGGAAGATTCAGATTTCTTAGGATCTTCCAAATTAAATCATAAATACCAGCGATGACTTCCTGTGACTCTCCCAGCCCCGTCTGTCCTCTAGCGCTTCTTTGTCCAGGTGCAGGTCTCGGACAACGGTCCAGGTTTCTAAAGAGTTCTATAGTCTATTCTTTGAAAAACCCAGCTCCCCCTTCATCGGTGCTTCAGGGTTTCCCTCACGGGACAGAAAGCACGAATCGCCCACGGTGGATGGGGGTCATTAGCAGATATAAATTTCCTCTCCCAATGATCCAGGCTTCGCCGAGAAAATACATCTGAAATATTAAGCCAGATGAATCAGGGGAATAAAGGAAACTGATCTCTTTATTCCACCTCACAGGGCTTTGGAGCATCTTTCTAATGCCCTTCTTCTAGGCACGAAGTATTTTACTAACAAGTGGCCCTTGGTTCAGCTTTTACATCTCAATGTGTCTGAGGCATGATTAGCATTTGTTAGAATAGAGGGCTTTGGATCTTTCTACCCCAAAGGCTTTTCTTCTAAAGCCAGAGCTGCTCCCCGACGATGGATTTTTACCACCACCCAGACAGTTCATAGAAAGAAAGCTTCCAGCTGGATTCTTTTCCTCCCATAGTAAGAGGGGGAGTGGGTGGTGGGTTAGCGCTTTTAGCAGAAGCGTGGTTGGGGCGGGACTGGAGGTGTGTGGCAGTGTCGGGGGAAGGGGAGGAGATTAGAAGGAGGCAGCATCCAGGATGAAGGAGGGACAACAGCTCAGCCGTCCCTGCTTTGAGGAGACTGTGGTGTAAAGAGGAGTGTGGATTTTAGGGTCAGACTGAGCAATTTAAATCCTGGCTCTACTGTTTACTAGCTGTGTGACCATGGACAGGCTGTCTGACCATTCTGTGCCCCAGTTTCCTCATTTGTAAAACGAGGTGATGGTAATATCACCTCCTAGGGGCATTTGGACACAACACGAGACAGTGCAGGTGAGGGAATTCTCACCCTGCACGTAGCAGGTGTTTAGTAAGTGACAGCTGTGGATTTCGTTGTCGTCTTTATTGTCTCCCCACAACCTTGAAGCTAGCTTTCTCCACCTCTTACCATCATCTTTCTCTCTCTCCTCTGATTCAATGTTCAACCACCTCTACCTGGCAGCGAGGTCTACCTCCCGGGCTCCTCTCAAACAGCCTGTCTTTAATGTCAGTGTGCCCCGTGGGGCCTCCATCATAATCGGATATTCCCTTTTTCCCGTTTTCTGGTCTGATGCATCCGACAGCTTTGAGCCTTTGGAAGGCGAGGAGTGCTGCCCAGAGCCAACCACTGCTCAGTGTCATGGCTGGGTCTTCCCTGGGCCAGTGCTCTGGGGCTGATTTGCACTGATGACTTAAAGCTATCTGAGTGGCTCTAGGGCCCTGAACAATGCCCCTCACCTCACACCTGTCACTCCCTGGCTGGGGACTCCACTTCAAGGGGGTGAAAGATCGTAGTGATAACATTCTTGGTTTCGGAAAAGAGAGGCTCTGATCTCAGCTGAGGCGGTAGCCATCCCACAGGGCACCCTGGTGCTTGCTCTCGGCAATAGGTGAGTTTCAAAACCTCTGCACAAACCACAGATAATGAATCACATTCGGGGCAGGCATGTCAGCCGAGAGAAGCAATGGCGATTTCAGAATCAAAGATGATGAAGTGGCGAGAAACTGAAGATGCTGGAGTCTAGAGTTCAACCTTCTCGTTTGATGGTTGAAAGCCTGGCTGGCAGATGGGAAGTGTTACACAGGGCGTTAATTAGTAACAACCTGGACAATAGAAAGAGACCAGAAGCAAACCGCCAGGCTTCTCTCTGGTTCACATGGATTTTCATGCAGTGGGTTTATTCAAAGTGAGGGTCACTGGTAAAGCTTCCTCAGATGCACATCTGATTCCCTCCACCTCTCTGCCTGGGTCACCGTCATTGCCTGAGGCTTCTTGATGTTTGACTCCCCAGCGGCTTCTGCCCAGCCCACAGATCTGAAGTAAGAGGGGTGGACCGGACCTACGAGGTCACCTCCCCTCCCGCCTGTCCCTTCCCTCCTTGGCTCCGGTGCAGGGAGCTCCCACAAGCCTTGCCCTCCTCTGTTCCTACAGATCCGTGTGTCTCCTGTGGGTGAACCTATTAGAGCTTAGCTAAGCGCTACCCCCTTATCACCCAGACACCCGGAGGCACCGTCTCTGCTGCTGCCAGAGACAGACTGAGGTTTAATTTACTGCAGAGCTAAAAGCGGGAGCCTCCCTGTCAACCCCTCGCCTCTGCCTCTGTTTGTCTCTGTGAGACCAAGCGTGCTATCAGCCGTCCACACTGTTTCCCCTGGAAACCCAGAGGCGCGCTGCGTTCCTGGTGAGCCCCATGAGGCCCCAGCGCCTGGAGATGGGCACGGAGCGTGAGGTCCTGGCTGCGTGGCTGCCCCTCCTGCACGGGTTCCTGAGCTTCTCGAAGGCTCTGCGGGTATGACCTCTGGTGATTCAGAGCTGCCCTTGTAGGTGAAGGCAAACATCCCCCCATCAACTCAATAGAACGTCTTCATGTCAGCATAAGGAGAAAAGGGGAGACACTGGAAGAGAAAGGCCTAGGACAGTGATGAGTCATTCAACAAACAGTCCTTGCTCCCCTTCTCTGAGTGGCCCCCCTCACGTATGCATAACAGGGACTCAGAAATGCATCGAATTACAATGCTCAAAAATCACCTGGCTCAAACTCCTCATTTTACAGATGGGGAGACTGAGGCTCACCGTCTTTCAGAGGAGACAGCTAAGACCACATATGGGAAAAGGGACATAAATCTCAGTAGCTCTGCTGCGGACTTGCCAGGGAGTGGCTCTGACAAGGGCAGAGGGAGGTCAGAGATAGGTCAGAGGTGCAGCCAGTGCTCGGGGAAGGCCAGACTTCAGAATGTTTGAGGAAGAGGGGAAAGGAAGAGGGCGTCCATGCAGAAGCCTTAACAGCACACTTGAGGTTGAGGCTTGGGCTCGAGGCAGGAAAAAAATGGAGTACCTTGGGTCAGTGACCACTGGGCGTGGCTAA